GGATAGAATTAGGAGAAATACCTAATGAGGATGACAGGTTGATGGGTGCAGGAAACCACTATGGCTTGTGTAGACAAACATGCACATTCTGCACATGTATCCCAGAACTTGAAGTATAATAAAAAAAATATCTTCTGGTGCTAGAGTTTACTTTCCTGGAACTATTCAGAAGAGAGAAAATGACAACTGGATGTCTATTAGAAAAGAAAAAGGATGGATGGACAAATGAGAGTGTCGGCTCCATGGGAGCACCAGTGTGCAAGAAACTTCTGGTTGTCTCGTTTTTGGGGTGTAAAAACTCCTGGGTTCCAGGGAAGAACTGAAGTGTCAGAGTTTCCTGTCTGGGAAAAAGGGAGAAATTCAGTGCACAGGGTGGAGATCCAGGACACAGATGGAGTAGAGGTGCTGATGTATGTGTCGGGTAACAGAGGTGAACATTCAGAATGATTTATTCTTAACCCAAGAATATTTTGCATAGGATGGCCCTGGGCTTCATCACAGACCTGAGATTGAGCCAAAACAATAAATCATAAAGTTCCCTGGGCTCCAAAGAGAATATAACATGAATACTGAATAGTATTTGCATTATCATGTAACTAAGGCCAAAAAAAAAAAAACCTTGCATGCTCACATGCCTTGTGCTTTCTCTAGAAACAAATTTCCTATCTAGAATCTCCCTTTGCTTATCTCAATAGACACAGTGCCATCTACTGAAAATAAAGCACCAATAGCCATGGCACCCTGAGGGATTCCCAGGAGAGCCCCCCTCTCTGTGGGCTCCCTATCTCACCCACCTCCCAGATGGACTGGAGGGAGTAGGCGGAATCCACAGGCTGTTCTCCTGTCACAAACTGTAATGCATCTGTTCCCTGGTGCTTTCCGTGAGCAGCGAGAGTAAGACGTTCCTAAAGGGACCTAGGGAGCCTGGCAAGGCACTTACACTGTAAGTGAAAGCTCTTTTAGGCTGCCCTCTTGCCTTCAACCAAGTATAAACTGAAGCTATTTTATATAGAGGAGGCCTACTTTTTACATTCAATCATAACAAGGATGAATGACATGTCTTCCTTTGGGTAATTAGGAGATGTTTCTTTCCACACAATAGTGTAGCAATGTGTTTAAGTGCGTTTATCCTTCTGTGAAATTTTGAATGGGTACAATGGATAAGAGGTTAATAACAGAATCCTGGACCATTATCAAGACAGGGATGTCTTTGGGAAATGTGGATAACTGAGGTTGCTGTGAATTCATTTAGGCCAAAGTCCACATTTTAGTTCATTGTGTCCTCCCCAAGTGGCAATGTCTCTTGGTCTCATACATGGAGAAATGGAGAAACAAAAGAAGACTCTGATTTCGCCACTACAGTTAATGATAAAATAGAAAATGGAAGCTTTAAAATACATAGCCTTCTACAGGACATACTCAATTCTTGCCCTCACCGCCTCTCACTTGACCATTTCTCCTCCCAAGGAATCTTGGCTCAGCATGTCAGGAAGCTCTTCAGGGACCATTTATAATTTAAAGCTCTGGTTTGAATTGATTCTGATTTGGCTTTTGGTAGTCAGACCTGGCATCTCTTCCAATTGCCCCTCCAAATCTGGCCCCATTTTCTCTATTGCATTTACTGCTCATTCTTTCTGCTGTCTTTTTATTAGATTTTCCAAAGCAAAACTCCCTGCAGTTAAGTCTGTGGTCTGGTAATTTATCACAAATATTCTTGAAATTGCCTCATTAAAAAGGGCATTTGAAGCTGAAACCTAAGTGTCTGTTACCACGGTAACCACCAACAACTATTTAGAACAGCCTGCTTAAACCAGAGGGGTAGAGAATTGCTGTTGGCAGAGATTGAAGGTAGGTAACTAAACACTACTGGGCAGGGGAAAAGGCCTGTAGATTCTGATTTGGAATTCTCAACCTCAAGCCAGATATCTTTCTACACAATAAGACAAAATAAGTTGGTGCCATGCTCCTGAGTTTTCTGCTACATGTAGTCTAGGAAATTTGAAAATTGAAAGCTCTTTTCACCATCAGATTACCAGGGGAGTTTGGATTAAAAATGTATACCTCAAAGCTTACTTGATCATGCTTCGCATGTTCTTGAGCCAGTCATTTGGCTGTCAGTGCCTCAAGTTCTTTGTACATTTTTTTTCAGAAGTGGCCAACATAAACTCTATATGTCTGAGGCTGTTTGTGCTGCCATAACAAAATGCCATAGGCTGGGTAACTTATAAAGACAAGAAATTGATTCTTACAGTTATGGAGGCTGAGAAGCCCAAGATCAAGGTGTTGGCATTGATGTCTGGTGAGAGCTGCTCTGCGCTCCCAAGATAGTGTCTTGTTGTGAAATCTGCAATCTCATGGGGTGGGAGGTAGAAGAAGAGCCAAACTCATTTACTCAAGGCCTTTTATGAGGGTACCTAACGTGGTTCTTGAGGGCAGAGCCCTCATGATTTAATCACCTCAAAAAGGCCCTACCTCTTAACACCATCACCTTGAGAACTAAGTTTCCTTATGTGAATTTTGGGGGTATACACCCATTCAGACCACAGCACTATGTCAGCAGGTTATGTGAATATCAGTGAGGCAATAAAAGTGAAGCCTTTTTGTTAACAAGGTGCTACATCCAAGTAGACTAAAACTCATGTTTTGAATCTACAACTGTTCTCCAGAATCTCTTATGGATTTCCAGTAGGCAAGCTTCTTTCCTCAAAACAAAAACAAAAACAATCACAATTCCTCCCATAGAGAGTAGTGTGTAGTGTCAAAATAATCTTATTTACTGCCTTTCCAAGCCAGGATTCTCCATACTTTCCATTATCCACAGGCCTGTAAGAGAGCTAACAGTGCTTGTTAGGCATATCTCGAAGTGCTACAAAGGTAGTTATAAGAAGTGTTATATGCAGTATAATATAATAATATTATATGCAGTATAACACTTCTTATAAGTAGAAGTATAAGAAGTTTTATATGAATATTACTCAAAGCATGTTTGATAAATAATGAAGATCACCAAAAGTACAAATGACATTCCTTCATCCTGTTTTCTTGGTTTTCCAGTGCAATTTTGGATAAAATATTAAAGAGACAATTAATCAGGAGTGCTGAGCATTGTGTGAAAATAGAGAGAGAAGTCAGGCCAGGCAATATATATGCATAATGTAGAAAGATCTACATTTTTAAAAGTAGTTATATGCTTGGGAGTATTTTGTATGTACTGTTTTCTTGGTATAAATATAGCGCATTAAATCAACAGGATTAGACAAATATGACAGATGGAAAAACACATCTTGGTGAGCAAAGTACGGAGGGATGAAGACATGATAAAGAAGAAAAGGCTGCAGAGTGTTGATGTTCTTGTGACAGGAAGAAGGAGGTATGCACTGGAAAGATCGTGGAGGACAGTAGTAACAGTAACTCGGATTCATATGAAAAGGGATTGAGTTTGGATGTAAATGGATGCATTAAGTCCGCAAGATCTAGAATTTCTTCAGCACTGCATTCCTTTTGTTGTTTTTCATACTAGCCCAACTGCATTAATCAAATATTAGTGAATTTTTGGTGACTCATTCATGTACCTATGAAGGAACAGAGGTAAGCAGAGCTCATTCTTTGGGTAGTCGTAAGTAGGCAGCCTGTGACCTCAAATGTTCTAAATTTCCTTCTTTTCAGCAAGTGGGTAGGGAGGTCTGACCTTCCCACTGATAGGTGGGGTGTGGAAGAGTTCACAGAACATCGAAAATATTGAGATGTTCAAATCATAATGGATTCAACATCAAAGAGATATCTTGCACATATTTGAGAAAAGGTGAACAAAGCAATTCCACACAAAATTGCTTGTTTTGTGGCTAATGAGAAAATTCCCAGAAACATACCTTTTACCGTTTATGTCTCAGACCTTGTAAATCATGAAATGCCGTTTCAGATTGTAGTGTAAGACCTATAGAGAAACGTGGGTATTGCTGTTAGCTGTAAATACAGTTCTTTATTATGATTGCAGCTTGTTCTCCCTAAAATAAAATTCAGCATGTGCTGAATTTAAGTTTAGCTTGGCTAACTTTTCTGCCAGATAGAATATAAGTACACTGCATATAATACTGTGCTAGCTTTTTTTTCAACATGAACTAAAATTTTGAATGTTCTTATCAGTTTATTATTAAACCTTCACGCAAAAACAAAATGGGACAATGTAAGGGTATAATCTGTGGCATCAGATAGAGCTGTTTAGATCTTGATTATACCATTTACTTCATTGCTAATCATTACTTTTCTAATCTACAAAAATTGGATAGAAATGCTTACCTCATATGGTAGCTCTGAGGTGTAAAGGAGACAATGAACGTAGACTTTGTTGGAATACTTATGTAGCCTCAGTAAATAATACCCACTTTTCCCACCCAAGTTCTGAACCAATTTAGAAATAGACAAGAGTAACGCAGGCAGGAGACCATTATCATTGACAAAGCTGACAATGGAGAGCTTAGGCCTCCTGATGTTGAATACCAGGAATAGACAGGCTCACCAACTGGTATCAGGTAGTCCTGGACAGTGGGTCTTCCACTGGGAAAAGGTCTTTGCCACTATGCTTATAGCATGCCTAAAATCATGCTCCCTGTGAGATCTGCTACAAAAAGAGAAAGAGGCTGGAATACAAATACCCAGATTCTCCAAAACTGATCCTTGCCAGGGGAGGATAAATGAGGAGGTGGAAGTATCCAGGGATATTACAGCTCATGTGGCTCCCTCTCATGGGAGGAAAGAGCAGGAGTGGAGAATGAGTGTTCCCTCCCACAGAATGACTAGCACAGTGCCTGGCACAAAGAAGCATTTATTATTTGTCATCTATGCCTATTATAATTACCAATTCTTAAGAAAAAGTCAAAATAAATACAAGTTGTACTTAGAACATATAGGAGAGTGGTAAGTGGCAGGTTTTAGAGAGATCGATAAAACCTGAGTAGTTAAGGTCTTTATATGGCATAATGTGCATTTTCATTTTGTTTTATAGATAATGGACAACAAAAAATCATCTGAAATCAGGGAGAAACTCTGTATTGTCTGTTCTCATACTGTTCTTTAGAACTACCTGAGACCAGGTAAGTTACGAAGAAAAGAGGTTTAATATACTTATAGTTCTGCAGGCTGTGCAGGCAGCATGGCTGGGGGCCTCAGGAAACTTACAGTTATGGTGGAAGGCGAAAGAGAAGCAAGCACAGTTTTACCATGGCGGAGCAGGAGACGGGGAGAGAGCAAAGGGGAAAGCGCTACACACTTTCAAACAACCAGATCCCGTGAGAACTCTATCATGAGACAGCACTAGGCGGGTGGTGCTAAACCACCAGAAACCATCTCTATGGTCCAATCACCTCCCACCAGGCCCCATCTCCAACACCCAGGGTCACAATTCAACATGAGATTTGAATGGGGACACAGAGCCAAACCATATCAAACTTTCGAGTTTCCATTTTAGAAAATGAACTCTTTCTTAGACTGTTTTGTGTCGCTATAAAAGAATACCTGGGTCTGGGTAATTTATAAAGGTAAGATGTTTATTTGGCTCATGGCTCTGCAGGCTGTACGAGCATGGCACCAGCATCTGCTTCTGGCGAGGGCTACATGGAGCTTCCACTCACGGTGCAAGGCAGAGGAGAGTAGGCATCATGTGGTAACAGGAAAGAAGAGAGAGAGAAAAGAGAGAGAGAGAGAATGAGAGAGAGAGGAAGAGGGGTGAGGAGAGAGGTGTCAGACCCTTTAACACATCTAACAGGAAGGAAGAGTCAGAACTCACTCAATCCCACAAGAACGGCACCAAGCCATTGATGAAGGATTTGTCCTCATGACCCAAACACCTCCCTCTAGGCCCCACCTCCAACACTGGGGGTCAAATTTCAACATGAAATTTGGAGGGGAAAAATATTCAGATGATATCAAACTCTAACTGCAGTAAACAGGATAGAGAAGATGAACAAAGTCTCCCTGAGCCAGGCACTATGCTATCCACCTAATAAAATGCTCTCTTTTAATCTTCACAGCAATCTTGAGAATAATGCCATACTCACATTACTCTCATTTTAAGATGGCAGAACTGAAACTTTGAAAGTTTAAATAATTTACTCAAGATACTCACCTTATAAATGAAAAATCTAGAATTTGATCCCATATCTGCCTGAGTCTAAGACTCAGGACTGGCTTCATGGGCCTGTTACCCATGCGCCCTGCATTTAAAAGGACTCTGTGCTTGGTTTCCTGCTCTGCTGTCTCAGTATTGAAATTCTTAACCATTTTAGAACAAGGGGTCTGCATTTTCATTTTGCACTGGGTCCCTTAAATGATGTAGCCAGTCCTGCCAAGATATATTTTCTTACTATTATTCCAGGCACCACTATCATTAAATCTGATTCTACACAAATAAAACTCCCTTTTCATCAGAGTTATGGAAAAAGTAATGAATCTAGGTAGAATATTAGTATGTGGATGATTGTATATGGGTGTTTCTGCATTTACATCTACAAACGTCCACAATTCAGAGCTCAGTCATTGTCACCAATCAATCTTCTCAAACATTTTTTTTTATTTCCCAGGGACTTCACCAGTGCTGCCATGCTGGCCCCATGATGTGAGTGGGACCCAGACCAAGAAGTGCTGAGGACAAGGCCTGAAGGTTAGTGAGGGAAGAGGAGGAATACATTCATGTCCAAGCACATGTGTCTGGTCATATTCCAAGTCTCAGTACAAATTAATTTAGAATTATCTAGTTGATGTTTTCCACATTTCAGCTTCCATCAATTGGCACAAATAATGAAGGGATGATGCAATGTGTATTGGTACAATTTCACAACTTTTTTGGAGCCAGGCCCACTGAAAATTAGGTAGCTGTTACAGATGACGGAAGAGGGCATTTTAGAAAAAGATGCTATGTGAACAGCCCTACATTGGTGCCTTATTTTCAATCACTTTTTGAGATGGAGTCTCGCTCTGTCACCAGGCTGGAGTGCAGTGGCGCAATCTTGGCTCACTGCTATCTCCACCTTCTGGGTTCAAGTGATTCTCCTGCCTCAGCCTCCAGAATAGCTGGGATGCCTGGCTAGTTTTTAGTATAGACAGGGTTTCACCATGTTGGCTGGGATGGTTTCACTCTCCTCTTTAAGGTAGTTGGCCACTCTAACTATCCCTTTAAGAAAGAACTTTTTTAAAAAAAAAAATTTAAAAATATATTGAAAATACAAAAAGAAAGACCCTAGAAAAATTATTCTAAGTTTTTCCATATTTTTTTTCACATGCACATACACACATATACACAGACTAACAAAATAGAAAATGGTGGGCACAATTTTTTGTAATCTGGATTTTTTCCTACTTATATTGAGCATTAATAGTTTTGAAAAAAAACCTGTAATAGCCCTTTTGGTCATTTAAATGATTTCCTGTTTTTTTTGTTTGTTTTTTTTTTTCTATGAAATCCACTGTTGTAAAAAAAAAATCTGATTATTTTCTTAAGCCGAAGTGAAATATCCTATTCAAAGGACATATACACTTATAAGACCCTTGATATATATTGCTAAATTGTGCTCAAGATTTATTTTACTAATATACAGTCCCAGCTCAATGTGGGAATGCCTGTTTGCATAAAGCTTTTTTTAAAAGTTCAGATCTAAATCTATTTGGTTTTCTTCTTCTAGCTGCTTATCAACAAGGTGCATACTTTGGACTTCAGGGGAGCAGAAGATAACTTGCCACTCTACCACACGCACGGTGACCACAAGATCGTAGAGGTGACATGCCTCTCTCCACTAGAGAGAAGAGCTTTCCTTGGTTTACGATAGCTTTGGCTGTATCTTTGTTTACCATCCCTTTAGTAAGGAGATATGACTATTGCCTAAACATACCGTTTTTTTCTTTTTTAAAGTAGGCTATCTATTTATTGAGCTCATTTTTTCCTTGCTAAATGATATTATTATTCTCTCACATATTGCCCTGGAACTTGCTTATCCCCTACTGAATAAATGTGTGGCTTTTCTTTCTCCAATCTAAAATCAGTGTTATTCATGTGCAACGTTGTTGCCTAATTTTGAGTCTTATTTACAAAATGACTTGTAAATAAGAATTAGATCCCAAAGAAAATTATTCCGGCTAATTCTAAATCTTTGAAAGTTATTTCTATGCTTTAGTTGTACTCTGTGAGGATTTATTACGGCCTTCTAGAGCTTTCTAGAATTTGACAGAGAAGAAACAGCCTGAAAACCAACCTTTTGAGTAAGGTCAGATATTACTCATAGGAGCTCACACACTTAGATTCTTTTCTAAATCCTAGGTTTGCTTTAGAGGACACATATCGATCAAGCATATTGATTAAACTTCAATGAGAAGTTTAATAGGAAACGCTTATTTAAAAATCTTCTCTGGCCAAAAATTGAATACGTAATTTTAGGGCAATATGACGTGTTTTTGAGTGATAAGCTGGATTCTGAAAAGACATTTATTCAGTAATGCTATAAAGTAATCATAATTCTTTTCACTAATTGCATTCATCTCAGGTAATATTGTTTAATCAACCACAAAAGGACCAAGAGGAAAACACCAACTTGACCTTTGACTTTTAGCCTCAAGGTGGGTCTTTACGTCCCTGCAGTAGCAGATTGCTGCAGTTCCTCCCTATTGTTTTCTCGAACATTTCTTTGGAATAGTGCTCTAAACTCTAGGGGTAATTCATCTGCCTATAACATTGGTGAACTGCTTGTCTGATTATTAGATCAAATAAGAGGATAAACTAGAGAGCTTATCAAAAAACCAGGAAAATATATTTGGGACACTACATAATATTTTGTGTTTGGATCTTCTATTTTTTTTTTTTTAATTTTACTGCCAGTCACTCTACTGCTCATTTTGGGAACCTTTGCTCATTTCTTCTACTATAAGTTTACCATTTTATAATATACCATTGAAGATCTGCAAAGGTCCTTGCCTTCTTAGGTAGCTAAAATTGGATGCTAATATTTTTTGAAAACCTGTTGCCTGGTAGTAATAAGGAGAAACTGGGACAAGAAACTGGAAATAGCTATTTTTAAATTGTTACCAAATTCTTGTGTCCCTTGAGGCAAAATTTTGAATTTACTTTTGAGGACAGATTACTTCTTTACTTCCATGCCTTGATTCCCAGACACGTATATTTTGATTAGTGGGAAGATGCCACCGTGGTCTCTAATTCAAAGTGTGTATTGCATCCTGTAAGACAGAATATCATCCTTTTAAGCAGTTGTCTACCAGTTGGCCCCAGAGTGGAGTCTTCAGTGAGCTATTCCAGTTTTCAAATAGCCCAGCCATTTCTGAGAGATTGGGTGTGTGATAAGGCATTTAGACCATTGCTAGGAAAACCTTCAACTGGGAAAGATGCTTTGAAAGGGGATATTCATTTTCCTTAAGACTCACCACAATAACCCCCTCTTACCACTAAACATTTGGATAGGGCCAAATCTCAGTATGTTGCAGGTGGGTAAGTGTACACTGTGACCTGGGAAAAAATAGTGTATATGCTGCAAGCATTTCAAGACTTTGCTGTTAATATATAGCAATAGAAACCTGGGGAACATGTGTGAGAATGCATTCTAAGGGCATTTTTCTTTTTTTTGTATTTTTAGTAGAGACGAGGTTTCTCCACGTTGATCAGGCTGGTCTCAAACTCCCGACCTCAGATGATCTGCCTGCCTCAGCCTCCCAAAGTGCTGAGATTACAGGCATGAGCCACCATGCTCGGCAAAATATTTTCTTTAATGGCATACCTGTGTAGGGCACTTACCATGAATGGAGCTTGCAGGACTGGAAGTTTCTCTGGTGAGTGAGTGGTGAGTGGACATGAAGGCTTAGGACACTACTATCCACTACTGTAGTTTATGTAAACCCTGTACACTTCAAATTTGCTGAATTTATTTTAAAATTTCCCTTCCTTCGTAATAAATTAACCTTAACTTACTCTAACTTTTACTTCATAAACTTTTTAATTTCTTTAAACCTCTTGATTCTTTTGTAATAACACTTAGCTTAAAACACAAACACATTGTGTAGCTGTATAAAAATATTTCATTCTTTATATCCTTATTCTGTAAACTGTTTTCTATTTTCTCTTTTCTATTTCTATTTCTTTTTTCTATTTTAAACTTTATTCTATTTTATTTTCTATGTTCATCCTTGATGAACATCAGTGCAAAAATTCTCAACGAAATACTGGCAAACGGAATCCAGCAGTATATCAAAGAGGTTATCCACTACGATCAAGTAGGCTTTAATCCCTGGGAGGCAAAGTTGGTTCAACATGTGCAAATCAATAAATGTAATTCATCACATAAACAGAACTAAAGATGAAAACCACGATTATCTCAATATATGCATAAAAGATTTTTGATAAAATTCAACAGGACTTCTTGTTAAAAACTCTTGATAAAAGTATTTTCATGTTAAAAAACTCTCCCAGGTATTGAAGGAATGTACCTCAAAATAGCAAGAGCCATATATGACAAACCCACAGCCAACGTCGTACTAAATGGGCAAAAACTGGAAGCATTTCCCTTGAAACTGGCAAAAGACAAGGATGCCCTCTCTCATTACTCCTATTCAAAATAGTATTGGAAGTCCTGGCCAGGGCAAACAGGCTAGAGAAAGAAGTAAAGGGCATCCAAATAGAAAGAGAGGAATTATCCCTGTTTGCAGACGGCATGATCTCATATCTCGAAAACCCCACAGTCTTAGCCCAGATGCTTCTTAAGCTGATAAACAACTTCAACAAAGTCTCAAAATACAAAATCAATGTGCAAAATAACTAGTATTTCTATACACCAACAACAGTTAAGCTGAGAGCCAAATCAGGAATAGATTTCCATTCACAATTGCCACAAAAAGAATAAAATATGTACGACTACAGCTGACTAGGGAGGTGAAAGATCTCTACAAGAATTAATTACAAACCACTTCTCAAAAAAATCAGAGATAACAGGCCAAGTGCGGTGGCCCACGCCTGTAATTCCAGTACTTTGGGAAGCCAAGGTGGGGGGATCACACGAGGTCAGGAGTTCAGGATCAGCCTAGCCAACATGGTGAAACCTCATCTCTACTAAAATACAAAAATTAGCCAGGTGTGGTGACAAGCACCTGTTATCCCAGCTACACAGGAGGCTGAGGCAGAAGAATAGCTTGAGCCCAGGAAGCAGAGGTTGCAGTGAGCTGAGATGGCACCATTGCACTCCAGCCTGAACAACAGAGTGAAACTCTGTCACACGCACCAAAAAAAAGACCCAAATCAAACTTTTAGAGTTGAAAAATACAATTTGTGAGATTAAAAATAAACAAGATGGGATTAAAAGTAGATTAGACACTGCAGATGAGGACATGTCAATAGAAACTATTCAATATGAAACAGATAAAAAATGACTGAAAAGGATCAGCAGAGCTTCAATGAGCTATGGAACAACCTCATACAACCTACTCTAAATGTAAATGTGGTTTCCAAGATGAGAGAAGAGGGGACAGTAACAAAGTTTGAATAAATATGGCTGAAAATTCCCAGATTTGTTGAAAAACATAAACATATAGATCCAAGGAACTAACTTTTATTTTATTTTATTTTATTATTATTATTTTTTTTTGAGATGGAGTTTCACTCTTGTTACCCAGGCTGGAGTGCAATGGCGCGATCTCGGCTCACGGCAAGCTCCGCCTCCTGGGTTCAGGCAATTCTCCTGCCTCAGCCTCCTGTTACTGTTAAGCTTTGTTATGCAGACTAACAAAGTCTAGGACTGATGGTTTTTCCCCCCTACAAATGTAATATACTTCCGAGTATTTTACTTGGTGTCCCATGCGTTACAAGGCTTTTCCTCTCTGGCCGAGGAGATCACCGTTTCTGTATCTCTGTGAGCTCTGGAGATTGCTCTGCTGCCTCTTTCAAGTGGCTCTTTATCCAACCTCGGGGAATTTTCTCACTGTATGGGCTGATCACTGCCCAGCTGAAGAATCTCTGCAAGACAGCCTTAATCTACTTGCAGGATTTTTTGGGAATGTAAATGGGAGACCCAACCTAAGTTACATTAAGTAAAACAAAGGATTCATTGTCCCATAATACTGGAAAACTCCAGTTCACTGGAGAGAGTGGATGCAACAGCAAATGAGGCCGTCTCTCTTGTGCTCACTGTTGCTCTTCCACCATTTATCCTTTGCTCTCTCCTGTCCTCTTTGCTGATGCTAAATGATTTCTTACTGGAGATGGCTTCCTCCAAGCAGAGGGAAAGGTGGCCTGAAGCAGTGGCGGTTGCTATCATCATCCTAGTCTTTCCTAAGGTCCAAGTATCAAATCTCAAGAGAAACGTACTGGCCTGTTAGAGTCACATGCCCATTCCCGAGCCAAGCATTGTGCATGGTAGAAGGTGTGTTCTGACAGGCAAGGCCAGGTTAGCACTAGTTAAAAAACCTGTGAAATGAACTCCCTGCAGGAGAGAAGAGTTTTATTACTAGAAGACGCTGAGGGGGGGAGTTTGGGTTGACAAACCAGCAATGATCAATTCACCCAGTTTCCTCATCAATAAAGTGGATGAAAAAGTCTAAAATCTGACAGTGTATTTATTAGGTGCTTGGCCTATCATAAGGGCACAGTAAGATTAATAATCTGAGCTTAGTACCTCCAGTTGTCAGTGACTGCATTCGCTTCTCTGTATCACTGATCCTCAGTGAAGAAGTTTCTCTTTTGTCTCTCTGTGCCAAGAGTCACTTGAATTACTACCATGGGCCTCAGTTTTCCGGTACCTGGGTTCCTGATCCCATTGCCATTTCTCCAGTTTACCTGTTTTCTGCCTTGCCTAAGCAGAGATCTTTTGTAAGCATCAAATCAGCATCAGGAAACAAATGGTCCACCTAAATTGGGTAATTTGCGTAGAGTTTATTAAGGAGATAATTTATAATGGTGTTAGCAGGTTATAGGGAAATCACAGGGGGTAGTGCAGTCCCCTGGGCTAGCAGAAAGCCTGATGGGACAAAGGACAGAACGGTGACTGGAGCTGGAGAGAGAGGGTCACCTGGCAGGAGCGGGGATATTCAGCCAGCCTGTAGTGACCCACGGAGAGGAAGCCAGTGAATAAAACCCTGACCTTCTGCTCTCATTATTCTACCCTCTTTCTGATCTCCAGTGCTCCCTATGGTGTGAATCTACTAGGAAGCTATAGGGTAAAAGAGTCTGTTTATACCACCCAATAGGTCAGCGTCCTACTTGGGCCACAGAGAAGAGTGATGAAGGGAATAGGGTAGACTAGAAGAACAAGAGGGAAACATCAAGCATGCCCTAGATCTTGGACTTGTTTTTTCCCAAGATGAAATAGCTTCTTCCTGGTCATATTCACAGAACCTGTGTTTGCTCTGGATTTTCCTGGTCTTGAGATAGGGAGCTCTGAATTTCTATAACCTGAAACAGGGGAAGACTGCTAGCCACCGTCTGGTATTTAAGAAAGCAAAATATTCCTTGCAAATGCCTGGAAATTTGCAACCTGATAACAGG